TTCCAAAGCCCTTGCATCCTTATCGTAGGTTCCTATTACACGGGTTGACTGTACGCTTTTTTGTCTGTTGTTTTTCGAGTCGAGTCCAGAGACACAGCTGGCGTGACTCCTGCGTACCTGGCCGCGCCCACTCGGAGGGCGACAGGATTTTAACCAATTGCAGAGATGAGGAACTGGCTCGTCGCTGGCACTTTCATCCACTACTCTACTACTACTAGTACGACGACTACTTCGAAATCTAGTACTACTACTTCTACTCATGGTGCTACGGCTACTAGTACTACTACTACCACTACTTCTACTACTACTACCACTGCTCTAGTGGCCGCTACTGCTACTGAGACAACTACTGCGACGACGACGTGGACGACTACGTTTGCGACTACTACGCTACGACTACTACTACTACTACTACTGCTACTACTACTACTACTAACTACTACTACTACTTACTACCTACTACTACTACTACCTACTACTACTACTACTACTACTACTACTACTATACTACTACTACTACTACTACTACTACTACTACTACTACTACTACTACTACTACTACTACTACTACTACTACTACTACTACTACTACTACTACTACTACTACTTACTACTACTACTACTACTACTACTACTACTACTACTACTACTACTACTACTACTACTACTAACTACTACGACTACACTACTACTACTACTACTACTACTACTACTACTACTACTCTACTACTACTACTACTACGACTACTACTACTACTACTACTACTCTACTACTACTGCTACTACTACTACACTACTACTTGACCACCTACCACCACCACCACACCACCACCACCACTACTACCTACTACTACTAACTACTACTACTACTACTACTATACTACTACTACTACTACTACTACTGCTACTACTACTAACTACTACTACTACTACTACTACTACTACTACTACTACTACTACTACTACTACTACTACTACTACTAGCACTACTAGCACTACTAATCCCACCAGCCCTTTGGGCGTGAGTGGTTCAGAGAGCTCTCTCTGTTCTCAACCCCCCTTCTTCCTCTTCGGGGAGGGGTTTACCCCTCCCCCTACCCCCTCCCCCTGGGCCTGGAGAGGGCGCCCCGCGGGTCGTTGGAGGGGTCTTTTTCGACTCCTGGGAGGGCTAAAAATCGACACCCCTCACGAGGATTCTGGCCCCGACGGGGGGAGGCAGAAAAATGCTCCCCTCTTTCTTGAAGCCAAAATCATTGATTTTACTACGGTGTTGGCACCATTTTGGCCTTCTGAGGGGGCAGCGCTAATTAAAGCTCCCCTCTTCTTTCAAGCCAAAATCATTGATTTTACTAAGGTTTTGGCCCCATTTTGGCCTTCTGCGGGGGCAGCGCTAATTAAAGCTCCCCTCTTCTTTGATCGATTTCCTCCAAGATGGCCCCAAGAAGCGCCCAGGAGGCACCAAGAGGCCCCAAGATGGCCCCAAGAGGCCCCCAGGAGGCCCCCAAGAGGATCCCAAACGGCCCAAAGAGGCCCCCCCGAGGCACCCAAGACGCCGAAAAGCCCATCAGGACGACCCTCTACTCGCCTGGGCGTCGTTTCTGGACGGGCAGGAGGAGGGGCCCGAACGACTCACACCAGGACGAGGGGCCCGAACAACTCACACCACGAGAAGCCCGAACGACTCACACCAGGACGAAGAACCCGAACGACTCACACCACGAAGAGCCCGAACGACTCACACCAGGAAGAAGGGCCCGAACGACTCACACCAGGACGAGAAACCCCAAACGACTCAAACACGAGGAGCGCTTTCTCTCCCTCCTCCTCCGCCTCGTCCTTCTCCCGCTCCCACCACAAGGAGGATGTACAAGGAGGCGGGAGGAAGGAGGAATAGGGGAGATATGCGGGGGCAGGCGGAAACACGCCTGAAAAACACGACTGTCGGCATGCTTCGCTAGAGTTGCTGTTTTGAGATGGGCTGGTGGGGATACGCGAAGCGTGAAGAATTTCGTAACCCCCCCTTTCCCCATCCCCCCCTTTCGCCCGGCCCGAAGCATGCGGGTCGGGTCCAATCCATCGTGTGGCCACGGACAGGAAGCCTCTACATGGCGAGACTGAACATTGCCTTGACGGGCTCCAGGCCTCCTACTCGCGGGGATCGTGGGCGCTCCCGGCTCGCGGCAAGACCTTTTCCCGAGGGCCTGGAAGCGCCAGCAGGCGCCATTCTTTTAGGCCGACGACGGCCGCCCACGTCGCCACGGCTGGACGAGGATCGGAAAACGGGCCAGGATGGACCCCAGGAGTCTCTCTCTCTCTCTATCTCTCTCCACGGCGTGGCACTGCTGAATGCAAGTCCTGTGGATGGCAGCGGACTGCAGCCGTTTGCCAAATTCCCGCTGCTTGCCACGAAAGGCTTCGGGTTGGGTGTCCGGCCCTCGTCTCGGACAGTCGGGACATGCAAGGGCAGCCCGCCCTTGCACTCGCCTCCCCCGGCCAGCCCCCTCTTCGCCAACATCCATCCCCCTGGACACGGCTGCTGGGAGATACAACAGCGTTTACCCTTGAGTAGGGGGCAAGATGAAGGGAGAAGGAGAGAGGTATTGATCTTGACCCTGCCCGCCTCGAGGCCAAGGTCCAGCCTCAGAGTGCGGATGGGCCGGCCGCGCGCGCACACGAGCTCACGCACGGGGATGGTGCGTCGCGGTCGCGCAACGCTCGTGCAGCAAGATGGAAAAATTAAACCGTGCCGCAACTTAGAAACAGGCAACAGGTATTAAGAACTGAGGTTCTTCATCACCTCCTCTTGATTCACTCACCCAAGTCTACCCCAACCTCTACAGAGTGCCTGCTTGCTGATTTTAAGTGGAATTCAATCCCAGGGACTAGGTAACTCTTTAGCTTGCGCAACTCGCAACACAACTCCCTGCTGCACCCCTTCAAGGTTGGAAAGTCTTTTTACCTGACCTAGCACTGGTAGCGAAACCGCCTCACGAGGAGAACAAGATAACGGGTACATTTGAACCACCTGCTCTCCTCGCCCTCCTCTTCCTGTTCCCTCCGTCGACCATCTCATTCCCACCTACGAGCATGTGCTCCGAAGGAGCGCACCGCCAGCGCTTTGAATTCGAGTTCCTCCGCCAATACTTCCTACTCACCATCGTCTTCTGAATCAATTGTTTGCTGGTAGTTGAGGCATGGCCACAGAGCCCCCGCCATACGTAATTGGGCCAACGACCAGACAAAAACGAAGCCCAGGACCTTGAACCAACCCATGTTGGACCATGCTTCGCCGAACGCCGCCTTTTTTATGGATGAAGTGATACCATCACATGCTACACATCCACACAACGATCGCCTTTGAAACCGAAAACATTGCTAGCATTGTAGCCGTGAGAAATGCGACTACCTTCGTGCAAACAGAAATGTCGTTGCGAACGCGAATGTCATCACGATTATAAACATATGTATATGGATTATGGATGTGTGTTCTCATACGCACCTCCCCCAGAGCGTAGAGCTCAGAGGCGATGAATTGAAGGTCGCGCCGCGTCCACGATTTTTCTGGTCGTTTCGCCGGGACATCCCCGAAATTCTGAAAATCGGTGACACCCCTCAGACAGGTCGTGACGTCAGGATCCAAGAACACATGGGAATTTCAACACTCTAACATCAAACCTTCAAAACCACAATGTAACTTCAATGGTTTCGACCCCGATTCTCGAAGAATGGCGGTTTCGCCTGAGACGCCCTCCGAAAATCGAGAGCCGACGTACCTTCTGGTACCCCATTGGTCGGGCCTCCTGGAGCCTCTTGCGGCAGCCACGGACATCCTCGCAACTTCGAGCGCAGACGACCCCTCCAGGGGCCTCCTGGGATATTTTCTGGCATCCTGGTCGGGCCTCCTGAGGCTTCCCGGGGGCCTGTGGTACATACATCGCTTGCGCTCGAGTGCGACCCCGCTATTGCACTTCACTCCCAGCAGCTATACTCCTCCTCCTCCTCCTCCTCCTCCTCCTCCTCTTCTCGTCCTTCTCTGTCCCCCCACACGACCTTTCAGCTTTTTGTATGAGCCTGGGCACACACGTGCCACTTGCATGTATGTCTAGGTGTATACATACATGTATATATATATATATATATATATATATATACATATCTACAGAAATAGAGAGAGAGAGAGAGAGAAAGAGAGACAGAGAGAGAGAGAGAACAACAAAAAAGAGAGAAAGAGAGAGTTAGAAAAAGAACGAGAGAGAACCACGCGCGCTTCGCGCGCTTAGGCTCGAGTCACGTCTGCGCCACGTTTTGCTGCTCTCGTTTTCGCTCGTGTGATCATCGACGACGACGACGTCGACGACGACGACAAGGGCGGCGACGAGTGACGACGAAGACGACGACGACGATGACGACGAAGACGATCATGACGACGACGACCGCCACCACCACGACGACGACGACGTCGACGACCCTTGGAGTGGCCCCGAGGTCCTGACAATTTCCATAGGCCTGGAGTTTCGTCCCAAATGTTTGACGGTCCTGGGGCCCGCGTCAGGATGCCGAGAGTTGTCCGGAAGCTTCGGGATCGGCCAGAGTACCTCAGGGCGTCTGGGGAGAGGGTTCTTGGGAGCCTCTTGGGGCTTCCTGGCGGGCCCGTGGGGCTCGCTTGGGTTTTTGTTTCGGGGGCTCTTGAAGATTTCTTGGGGTCTCCGGGGTGCTTTTTGGGGAGGATGGCTCGAAATGTTGGGTGGGGTACCCCTCGGGGCTGTGTGGGGAAGCTGCCCCGAGGCCCCCTGGGACTGTCTTGGGGGCCCCCTGGACAGTCGAGGGCCCCTCTTGAGCCGCCTTGGAGGCCTCTTGGAACTCTCTTTGGCCGTCTTGGGGCGATCTGGTCGGCTCCTGGGGCCGTCTTCGACGTGGTCGACGCCGAAACGATACCTATCGTAAAAATGCGCGTTCTCCAGCGGGAATCACCCGGCGCAGTTCTCGCGCTCCTCCCGCCCTCAGGGGGCCGACGCTGCCCCGCTGCCGCCCTCCACCATCGGCGCGTCCTCTGGGGGATCGGCGCAGTGCCGACACCGCTGCTGCCCGGACCTCTCCCGGGGCGCGTCCTGACCAGGAGGAGCCCGAGGCGAACCCAGCGGTGGCGACGAGTGCCTCCCAGGAAGCACGAGGCAAAAGCGAGGCAAGGGCGGCGGCATCGGTACCTTCTCCTCCTCCGATCCTCGCCCTGCCCCTCCGCCACCAACGCGCTGCGCGCCACTGCAGGCGCAGCGCGCCGGCCGCGCCACGCCACCGCCCCCGCCAGCGCCGCCGCGAGCGAGGCGACCGCCGCGGCCGCCACCACCACGGGAGGGCCCGCCGCGGTCCCTGGCAGGGCCTCTGGGGGGACAAGAAAGAACCGCTACCCTCTCGACATCCACCTTCCGAGCCGCCCGCGCCGCGGCGACCGCCGAGGCCGCCGCTGCGACCTCGACGACGGACGCCACTGCGGCCGCGCCGGCGGCAAACGCTGCGCGGGTATCTGCCGCCCAGCGAGTCCAGAAGGGGGAAATCGAAGGACCATCATTGGGGATGCCAACAGGTACCGCCACCGCTGCTGCTCGGACCTCTCCCAAGGCACGTTCTGCCCTGAAGTCCGAGGAGAGTCCAGCCGTGGCGACGAGGGATCTCTGCGGCGATCGGCTCCAGCGCCAGCGACATCGATACCTGTTCCTCGTCTGAGCCTCGGGCAGGGCATGGAGGCGTACATTGCCGGAAAGTGGTTTGTTGCAGCGCCAGCATTCCGCACAGTCCGCCATTACCACCTTCAGCGACTGCGCGCAGAGGCTGTCAGGGTCCACCGGGTTGGATCCCCCATCGTCGTTCATGAGGCTGGTGACGGCATCGGAGATCCTCGAGAAACAATCCTTGTTGTCGGGGCAAATAGCATTCGGGTCATCACCAGCAGCACCGATGCCTCATCAGAGGAACCACTGAGCGGCATAAACATACAGCTTCCGGAGCTCCGCGCGGATTTCTCGGATCCTCGCTGACCCGCCTCCCTGGCGCGCGGGCGCCGCCGGAGGGCCCCAGCGCCGATCCGACAAAAACTCGCGCGGACCTCCGAAGGCTGTTATGTTTATGCCGTTTGTTGTTCTTCGGCGCCTCCCGCACCACAATCGTCCTCGACCACGCACTGGCTGCCTTCAGGACCAACAGGGATCCATAAGACAGCGCTGGCAAGGTAGAGCAATGAGGCAATGGTAAGGACCTTCGAGACGAGGGCCATCGTGCTCGCGGGGCGACCTGGCGGGGGCCGTCTGGTTGCAGCCGCGCCGCTCCCGTCGCTGCAGTCAGCGTCGCTTGGGCCAAAGCTGTTGTGGAACAGCGTTGAGGCAAGGAGAGCTGAGATCGAAGAGCCAGGATTCGGCCAAGGGGGCTGCCGGCAAACCAGGCTGAAGAGCGCTGGAGTTGCACCATGCTCGAAAGCGTTGCAATGAAACGTCCGCCGCAGTGCCGCTAAGCACGGAGCGGGCGCGTCCTCAGGTTCTTCGCCTGATCCCCCGAGCCTCAGTCCTGACTCCCGAGGAGTCTCTTAGGGGCCCAGACCCTCTGTATATAGATGCTAATATTTACATATATATAGACACACCCTATATATATATATATATATATATATATTCCTGTGCATATGTGCGATCTGTATACATACATGGGCAAAAGTGGCACGTGCGAGACAACGCTCATACAAAACCAGCTGCATCATGTAAACTCACGCACTGGGGGCTGCGATAACGATTGCAATTTAAAGCGGGGGTCGCCGCTGGGTCACCACGGCTTGCGATTAGGGCGGCGTCCCATGGCGAGTGCACTTGAACTTGAACAGGAAGAGGGTATTCGACGTCTTGACACGACAATCAGTTAGCCAGGCAGATGGTTCCAATTCAATGTTAGCCAGCGAGGAACCCACATAATGAGTCATTGCACCGTTCAAACGAAGGCTATGCGGAGTAGGTTATGTGGCCTCAGCAATAGAGTTAAGATACATGATAAGATCTATTGTAAACGACGTGGTGTGAGCTGCGCCGTGTAACTAATGCGATGAGACCTGTGTAGTGTGAGCTATGTTGTGCAAGCAGTGCCGGTAAGCTATGTTGTGTGGACTACGTTACCCACCCAGGACACGGGGCGCCCAGGAGGCACCCACGGACGAGCACCAGGCGAAACCTCGGCGGACCCACCAAGGGCGCGGAGCGCCTGCGAGCGTCTGCGAGGCGGGCGGCAACGTGGCGAAACCTCGCCGGAACCTCCCCGCGCACGTGGGGGCCACGGGGCGGCCACGGGCGGCAACGTGGCGATACCTAGCCGGACCCACCCAACGCACGAGGCGGACACGAGGCGGCCACGAGTGGCAACGTGGAATATCCTCGCCGGGTCCATCCAGTAAGAACCCCTAAATGCAAGCTCTGTTCAGGAATAAAAGGGTCACCGATGTGAGACACCGCATGGAAAGCGAGTGCAATTGGGAAGGAGGGCGCCAATCACCGACGGGGTTGCCACAGCTTGCGATCAGGGTGACGTGTGGAGAGTAGCATAACAACACAACCATGCCTTCTAGTTAATATATACGAAGTCTTGTAAGGTCATTGTGAGTTTGAGCATCGCTGGCGAACATGTTGAAAACCATCTAGCTAAATGACAATGACGTCGCGAGGGGCGTGTCCAGTTCTAACTCTTGCGAAAATGTCCCGCACGGAACTTTCAAACAACAATATAGCGCGCAAATCCGCCGACCCCTTGGGGGACTCTTGGGCCGTCGTGGGGCCTCCCAGAGGCCGTCTGGGAGCCATCTTCGGCGTCTTGGAGCAACGATTCGGGGATTCTGGGTTCTCGTAGACGTTTGGAGACCTCCTTGGACCCTGGGGTAGCGTTTCGGGGGGGGCCTTGAGGCCCTCCCTGGTCCTCCCATGCCCTGGCCCTTCTTGGAGCCTCTTGGGGTCTCCTGGGGGTCTCTTGTGCCGAAAAGCCACAATTTCCGGTTCCTCGTCCCCGTCTTGGGCGCCGCCTTGGGGAGTTCTTGGGCGGCTTGGGCGCCTAATGGGCCGTCTCTGCCCCCTCGTGGGCCGCTTTAGGGCCCCCTTGGGGGCATCCTCGACCGGCTTGGGTGCTTCTTGGGCCGTCTTTGATGCAGTGGACGCCGAAAAGGCAAACACGCCAAAAAATTCAGTTTCCCCATCGGAAATCGACAATTTTTGCTTACTGGGCTACTCTCGGGGTGCCCTTGGGGCGTCTTCGGGGCTCTCGGGGGCTTTCTTGGCGTCATGGGAGTCGTCTTGAAAGGCGTCTGCAGCCTCTGGGGGCCCTGTTGGCAAGGGGCGGCGAAACCCAACAACAAAAAACAGGGAAAACGACGCCCCGTCCCCCCATGCCCTGTCGAGGTCGTGGTCCCAGGCCACCGGGCCTCGTGCACGGGGGTAGTATATATATATATATATATACATACATACATACATACATACATACATACATACATACATACATACATACATACACACATACACACATACATACATACATACATACATACATCTGTGTAAGCTGGGGAGACTCCCGAGGGCCAGACTTGTTTTGCATCCGCAACTCTGTGTGATGACTCTTCCCGGAGCTCCGTGAAACGTTGACTGGACGGGCGAGGCCCCTCGACCAAGGAAACCGTGGCCCGAGACAATCACAGTCCACAGGACACTGCTCGAGCTGAAAATGGGATGGGAGCGCAGCGTGGGCGGGAGGCTTGAGCACACGTGTCAGCGGCCCTCTCCCGCTTCCCACACGCAACAAAGAATCTATGGCACGCCATTGCAATCTGTGTAAGCTGGGGAGACTCCCGAGGGCCAGACTTGTTTTGCATCCGCAACTCTGTGTGATGACTCTTCCCGGAGCTCCGTGAAACGTTGACTGGACGGGCGAGGCCCCTCGACCAAGGAAACCGTGGCCCGAGACAATCACAGTCCGAAACCTTGAAAACTCGAGCACCAGCGAATTTTAAAACCCTGGCCTTAGGCCTCCACAAACCTGTCCAGGCTCAGAAACGAATGGTTTCGCAGAGCCTGTTGGAAACACTTAGCTACCAGCCTGCAAAAATCTTTTGGGCACGGTTCCGCGATGTGCGTCCAGAAAATGCCTGAGGCATCTTTGCCCTCGAGGACCTGATGGGGGCGGCGGCTAAAACTGCAGACCCCACGACCCGAGCACTTATAGGGGATGAGCGGGTCGAGGTTGAGATGGCAGTACAGCAGCCGAGTGCGTTTGCGCCAAGGGGTCGAGAACGCACAGAAATCAAAGTCCACAATACGAGTGTTACGAATTCGAATGAGACTGCGCGCACCTGGAAGCTGCCACAACCAGGATGTGCTGGGATTCTCAATCACTACTGGTATGTTTAAACTGCGGGCAAGCAAGAAAAGAGAAAAGCTGAAAGTGGCAAGTGCGTTTCCTCTCTCGACCTTGAGCTGATCTCCTGGCGACAGGCCTGGCAGCCCCAGCGGAAACAAAGCCGTCCGCAAGGGTGGTGGCCCGTTGGGGCGGTTGCGGGCGCGGCTCATGGACTGGCAGGGCGTCGCAATCCAGATCGCGACGATGAGCCGACTCCGCACCCAGCCTCGAACCTGCTGCCTGATCCGCCTGAGGAGAAGGTCGCTGTCGGCGTCGTGGCGGATGTCCAGCTCGAAAGCGGCATGCTGCGACTGAAAACGCAGGCGCCAGGCTGCCGCCATCCGGCCCGAGCCGCTGAAGACCTCCAGGAAAACGCCGGATCTGGAATGTCTCACCCACGATGCCAACTCGCCGACGGGGTGGCGCCAGGCCCGCGGAGCGCCTGCTCGGCACTTAGCGGCAGGGCGCGCGGCAGCCCGCGAAGATGCTCCTGCACCTGCCTCCCCTCGGCGTAGCATTGAAGCGCGGCGTCGGTCGACCACCTGGCGCGCATGTGGATGTCCCGCAGAGGCCGCGCCGCCGCGAACAGCTCGTGGCATCCGCCATTGTGCCCGTGCATCAGGTAGCTCCAGACCTGTAGGCCGAGCCCGGCCAAGACGGCCATGACGTGGCCGCTCCACTGCGCCTGGGCCACCGGCAAAGGGCGGTGGCCGCCGGGCGTCCGGTGGTGCGGCTCCTGCTCGGGTCGTGGCACCCTCGGGGAGCGGGTGAGGCCCGCCCGCAGGGTCTCGTCGAGCACGTCTGTCATGGATGGGGTCTGCATGTCGGACGGCTGGAGGACCATGCACCACTGGTGCAGCGCCTCGGCAGCGGTGAGCCTTGGCGGGATGAGCTGCGACGGCACGAAATCCAGCGCCTCGCGCGGCCTCAGGTACAGGTCGACCGTGGTCGCGGCGGGCCAAGCGTACTCCTCCAGGCCCCCGCAGCACACCGTCACCACGAGGAGGCACACCACGGGCCGTGAGAGCGTCAGCCGCGGCCGCGGCGGCGCCAGGCATGACCAGGTCTTGGCAGCCCGTGCCGCCCACAGCTGGCGCCACTGCCGCCGCCCGAGGGTCGGACGCACGAAGGCAAAAGCCGCCATCAGCATCCTCACGGCGCTGCTCTTGCCCCCGTCCAAGAACTCCTCCAGGAGGGTCAAGCCCTGGCGGGGGGCCGCAGCCGGGAGGAAAGGAAAGAGGTTCGCCTCCCCCCGCTGACGGCCCGCCCAGCGGACGCCCTCGGCTGGGCGCGCTGCAGTCTCCGGCGCTGCTTGCGGCCTGCCCTGCAGTTGGCGAGCGCCCACAGCACTTGCAGCCGCAGTCGGCCTCCTGCGAGCCCGCATCGCCGGCGCGGCAGGGGCCGCCCTGTCGTCGAGGACCGACATCAGCATTGCCGCCGTCATCCTCCCCGAGGCCCAGCGCCTGGGCGGGCGGGCAGGACGCGTCGGGCTTCGATGTCTTGATCCGCACGGCCTCGGGGGTGTCACCAGCCTGGTCACGAGACGCCAGATCTGCGCTGTTATGTTCTGATGGGACCCAACGCCAGATAGCAGATGAACCAGAGGCCAACAGAAGAGCACATGCCTGACGACAGATTCTCAAAAGCGGGGGCGACGATGATCTGCCCTTGAGAAGGGCCAACACTGGGGCCATGGAGTCATTCAAGATGATGTGCGTGGTGTTGAAGTTTCGAGTGGCTCGCAATCGATGTTTCAGACACAAGACTAAGGCTCTCCCCTCCAGCACCACCTGAGCCTCCCTCCTGGTCCACGGTGTAGATAGAACCCGACGCCATCCTTCCGCCCAGACCTCCTCG